GCCACCAGGGAGGGCCCACTCTTTCTTTTTCTTACTGATTCCATTTAGCATAATCCCCTAAAATCCATTCACTTATTCTTAAAGGCACTATTTAATTTTTAAAATAATTGTGTTGTATTCCACTGCATGTATATACTACAACTTTGGTATTACTGTCCTCTATCAATGGACTTTTAGGTTGGTTCCATATCTTGGCTATTGTTAATAATGTTGTTTTGAATATGGGTGCACAGATCTTTGTTTTATTTATGAAGTAACCATTGTTTTACAGACTTTTAAAAATATTTAAACCGTATAGGATTTCTTCTCTTAGGTATGATTACTATACTTCTCCCACCACTATATCACACTAAAGTCCTTTACTGCAATCCATTGTGCTTTACCAGCAGGCTCATTTTCACTCTATCCATTCCATCCTTTTCTCCCTCCCCTCCTGGGTATCTTCAAATCTATGTTCAGTTATGTAGGGCTTGATTTATTTTTAAGTTTTCTTTGATGGTCCTTTATTTGGTTTCTCTATATTTCACACACATAAGTGATACTATTCTTCCTCAGTACAACTTACTTTGCTTAGTATAGTCCTTTCCATGCTCCATCTATGTTGCTGCAAATGACATGAGTTTATAGATGTTGACTGCTGAGTAATATTCCACTGTGTATATATACATCTTTTGAGCCACTCCCCTATTTTCTGCAATTAGAGTGTTTCCATATCTTTGTTATTGTAAATAGTGCTACAATAAACATAGGAATGTAGGTTTCCTTTTGTGTTCTTTGGGGAGATATCTATGAGGGAGTTTCTGGGTCGTATGTTTGAGGAACCCTAACCATATTTGTCATTGAGGTAGGACCAGTCTACATTTCCACTAATAGTGTGAGAGGGTTCTTTTTCCTCCATACTCTTGTCATTTCTTGTTTCTGGTTCTCTTAATATGGACCATGTCTCATTGTGGCTTTGATTTGTTTTTCCGTGGTGACTAAGTGATGAGTTTTATTCATATGCTTGTTGGTCATCTGGGTATCTTCTTTGAGAAGTACCTACTAATCTCAGCTGTCCATTTTTTTTTAATTGGATTGCTTTTGTAAATCACTTAATATAAATCCCTTGTCAGATATATGGTGTGCAAGAGTTTTCCCTTTCAGTTGGGTGTCTGTTTTGGTTACTGTCTCTTTTTCTGTTCAGAAGCTTATCACTTTAATATAGTCCAGGTTGTTTTATATTCTTTGTTTTCCTTTCTATTGGAGATGAATCTGCAATGGCATTTCTGAAATTTATGCCTTGGAATATTTTGCCAATGTTGTATACTCTTTCAGGTCTTATAATCAGTTATTTTATACATTTTGAGTTCATTTTTATAGATGGAGTGAGATGGCAGTCTGTTTCAATCTTTTGCAGTTTTCCCAACACTATTGAAGAGATCTTCTTATACCAGTGTATAATTATACTTCTGCTATAGGTTAGTTGTGCATAGATGCATGGTTTTATTTCTGGACCATCAATTTGATTCTATTGATAATGTGTATTTTTGTTTCAGTACTATATTTTAATTATTACCACTTAATAGTATCAGCTCAAAGTCTGGAAGTGCAATACCACCATTTTCATTTTAATTTTAGTGAGAGCTTTGGGGTCTTTTGTGGTTACATTTGAATTCGGTAACATTTGTTCTATTTCTTTGAAGAATGCCATTAGGATTTTTTCCCCTCTTACACAAACACACACAATAAATATTTATGTATATTATGTATATGTATACATTTTTATACATTTTTCTTCCTTTTTTGTATATAGCATAGTTTCTCCTCTCTGTATCCTGCAAAATTCCCGACACTAATTCATCCATGACCCATCACCATAGCTGGCTATTACAAGTTTTTTTGTGGTTCCATATAAATGTCATCAGTAATTGTTCTATTTCTTGGAAGAATGTCATTGGGATTAAAAAAAGTATTATGTTTACAGAACTGGGGTACAGGCCAGAGGTGTGGTGGGTGAGAGGATTCACCAGAGACAGTGGGGAACAGAACAGGCAGTGCACTGAAATACCCTGTTGAAGGGAGCAGCAGACAGACCAGGAGAAGTCTGCCATGCCATGTGGGACTGTTTCTTGGCTGGCGATCGAATTCGTGCTGTAGTGACTGCATACAGCTTCATAGTGCAGTGTTTTAACCTATTGTGCTGCCAGGGAGAGCCCATCATTGAGATTTTTATTGGAATGGCGTCAAATCTGTAAATCAGTTTTAGGCAGAATGGCCATTTTAATGATGTTAATTCTTCCAATCCATGAGCAGGGTATGTCTTTCCATTTGTTTGTATCTTCTTGTATATTTTTAACAGTGTTTGTAATTTTCTTTGTAGAGGTTTTTTACTTCTTTTGTTAGGTTTCTTCCCAAGTATTTGACTTTTTTTTGTTTGTTTTAATTTTAAAGGGGATTTTGTTTTTTGATGTCCACTTCTACTGATTGTTGTGTATAGAAAGGCTACTGACTTTTGTGTGTTGATTTTATATCCTGCTACTGGTTGTTTTGATTAGTTTATCTATGGCAGTTTTAGGGTTTTCCATGTAAATAATCATATCATCTGCAAATAATGAATTTTCCTTCTTCTTTCCCTATTTGGATTCCTTATATGTTTTTTCCTGTCTTATGCTCTGGCTAAGACTTTTAGTATTATCTGGGTTTTAGTATCTGGGTTTTCTATTCGAATCCACTGGTCTGTATGTCTATTCTTATTCCAGTACCATGCACTTTTGATTACTATGGATTTGCAGTATAGTGTAAAGTCTGGTACTGTGACATTTCTGTTCTCTTTTGTGTTAATTAGCAGTGGTGATAATGCTTATTGTCTTGTTCCTGATCTTAAAGGAAAGGCTTTCAGCTTTTCTACATTGAGGATAATATTGGCTGTGAGTTTGCCATATATGGCTTTTATCATGTTGAGGTATGTTCCTTCTATTCTGAGAATTTCAAGGGCTTTCCTCATAAATAATGCTGAACTCTGTCCAGTGTATATTCTCTGTCAAAGTATTTTTAATATCTTTTTGATCTCCTTTCTAATCCAGTGGTCTTCCAGTATTGTGGATTTCAATTTCCATCAGGTAGAGGAGTTAGTAGGGCTCCTTATATTCCTTTCATGATTTATTTGTAGCTTGTTGCCTTTATGATCAAAGAAGATATTTGTAAATATTTTAATTTTATGTATCTGTTGATGTTTATCTTGTGGCTTGACCTGTGGTCCATTCTGAAGAATGATCCATGCCTCCTTAAATAAAATGTGTCCTTAAATATTTTTGGGTGCTGTGTCCTATAAATGACACCTAAGCCCTTGGGGACTAGGTCTTTATTTAAGGCTCTCATATTGTTATTTTTTTGCCTTATTCTGTTTGTTGGTGAGAGGAGGCTGTTGGAGTGTATCCTACTGTATATGTATTTTCTCTAATGTGTGTTTTCAGACCTGATAATAACTGTCTAATATTTTGATCCTCCTTCTTTAGGTGAGTATATGTGTTGATGAGTGTTTTTCTTGATATATTGCCACCTTAATCATAATGTATTGTCTATCTGTGCCTCTTTTTCTTTGTTTAGTTTGAAATCTATTTCACCTGATATAAGTTGGGCTAATCTTATGTTCTTTTTGGTCTGTGTGCTTGTAGGATTGTTTTTCTAACCTTTTAGTTAAAGTCCATGTGTATATTTTGTTGTGTCTCCTGGAAGCATATTTTGTTGTGAAATGTGTCTCCTGGAAACAGCAGAAGGTTTTATATATATATATATATATTTTAATCCAGTCTGCTATTCTGTCTTTGTATTGGTGAGTTTGTTACAGGGTAACCCAGAGTGAAACTGGGCTGCCTGTCTGTGGGTCCTCACCCTTGCGCTTGAAATTTAATTGTTCTGGGCCCTCCCTGGTGGTGCAGCAGGTTAAAGCACTGCAACACTAAGAAGCTAAAGCCACTTCAGCATGAGTTCAGTCCCAGCCCCAGAGGTGATCCACATGGCGTGAAGACCTCTCCTGACCCGCCCACTGCTCCCCTTAATAGTGTACTTCATCAGTTGGCCTGTTCTGCTCCCCACTTTGTCTCTGGTGAATCCTTTCACCCCTTGCACCTCTGACTCATACTACATGGCTGCTGCATTTTCAGTATAATCCCAATAATTCTGAATATAATTGTAGAATCATCCCAGTCTAATTCATAAGACCACCAGTACATTTAGAGTAAGTATTTTGATTTTCAAGGTAATAGGTGTGAAGCATACTAGATTAATGCCAGGCCTTCGTAAATAAAGAAGCAGAAAGAATATTTCTGCCGGGATGTCCTGACTTTACACAATGTACAAGAATGACAAGTGGCCCTGTGAAAGCCAGCTAGAGGCTTCCCCAGGGTTACTGGCTTAGTGGTAGCATCCCACTTTGTACTATGGCCTTTCATCATGCTCATAGTCTTTTTCTCTCTATTCTCTTACTCAGTGAAACTTGAATATCCTCCATATCTCTTCTGGTGCAGTCTTTGTTGGTTTGTGATGTCCATAGGTACTAAAATTTTTCCCAGGTCATGGACTCTACATGTAGTGATATATTATTCCTCTGGTTAAGTTTTAGATTATTCTCTCAGGAGTGAAACAGGAAAAGTCCTTTGAAGCCAACTTTGTCCATTCAACAGAGAAGTTCTCCTTCATTTTCCTCACATCTTCTCCCCTCTTGGCCTTGTCCTCTCCTTTTTATCTTCAATTACCAATTTTTATGTACTTTTAATATTTCAAATATGGCTGGACATTTTGTATGTTAATTTCCTTTGATGACTATTGTATCATGGGAACTGGGTATCCTCATCTTTACAGAAGTCAAGTCATTTACCATCAACCTTAACTATTAGGTGTGTCAACTAATATTCGTAGCGGTGGATGTCTAATTTGAATACTTGTGTTTCAGAAATAAGTTGGTGGTTAACGGACCTGTATAGTTACCAGAATTGCCAGATAAGCTTTAAAAAAAAATTCCTAGAAAACTTATAGCTATATAAGACAGAAGTGTTCTGAGTTGAAACTGTCAGAATATTTTTTTCTTTAAAAAATCTTTTTCTGGGCTCTCCATGGTGGTGTAATGGGGTAAAGCACAGCACTGATAAGTTAAAGCCACTTCAGCATGAGTTCGATTCTTGATTCTGTTTCCCACCCCAGAGGTGACCCACATGGTGCGGCAGACCTCTCCTGACCCCGCCCACTGCTCCCCTCAGCAGTGTACTTCGTCAGCCTATTCTGCTCCCCAATCAGTGAATCCTCTCACTGCCCTTGCACCTCTTGTCTATACCCCAGTTCTGTATGCATACGTAAATAAATCTTTTAAAAAACTTTTCCTCTTGATTTATCTTTTTATGTAACTTTGGTGGAATTTCTTGACTTTTTGTTAATTCATTTTCCTTGTCAACAAAGTATAGATTTCTGTTCTATCAGTAAATTTCTTCCTTGCCCCAATCCAAAGGTCTTAATCTTGGTTAGTGATATTTATGTGTGTACACATATATAATATTTGTATGTAACCTATATAATGTATTTTATATCTCATTCCATTGCAGTGTTGGTACTGTTTCTGTGGGGTTTTCTACAGTAGGAAAAATGCTTTGCCTTTCCACCTGTATTTTAATTTTTTGTATTGTGAATATCTAGAATGGTATGATAGATCCTTAATAGGTACTGGCTCTATTGAATAAATGAGGACTGAATAAACAAATTCTACAGAAATGGCTAGTATTGGTAGTAGTTACAGAGACTGAGGGCGCTGTGCTTTTTACTTTTCATGACTTCCCTCATTGATGATTCAGCAACCTGTAGAATGTCTTATGCTCTCCCTTGCTTGACTTCCATGAGTAAATACAATTTCAGATAAGGTGATTGCTGTTGTATGTTTTTCTTTTTCCCATAGTCTAATCTCCATATTTTGGTATTCATTATTGTTGTCTTTTATCTCATCTCTGGAACAACAGTGTTCATTTGAAAAATACTTGTTTGCTTACTTTACTCAATAGTTTCAACTTGAGCTAATTTATTTATTTATATTTAAAAGATTTATTTATTTCTGTATATAAGAACTGGAGTGTAAATCAGAGTTGCAAGAGTGGACAGTGAGCGTATTCACCATAGAGAGTGGGAGCAGAACAGGCAGATCTACTGAAATATATTGCTGAGGGGAGCAGCGGGCAAGACTGAAGAGGTCTGCCTGTCCATGTGGAACTCGTGCTGTAGTGGCTGGGGATAGCTTAATAAGCACTGTGTCTTTAAATCCTGCACTGCTGGGTAGGAACAAACCAAATTATTTATTTATTTATTTTAAAAAGATTTATTTTTGTATGCATACAGAACTGGGGTATAGACGAGAGGTACAGGGGCGGTGAGAGGATTCACTGAGTAAGGAGCAGAACATGCTGACTAATGAAGTACACTCCTGAGTGGAGCAGTGGGAGGGTCAGGAGAGGTATGCCACTCCATGTGGGTCACCTCCAGGGCTGTAATCAAACTCATGCTGAAGTGGTTTGAGCTTCTTAGTGCTGTGCTTTAACCTGCTGTACCACAATTTTTTGAATTTTAATTCTCTTCAGGTACTGTAGCTTATAAGTTTTATTTTTAACTTTGTCTCTAACTAAATGTGATTGTTGCTATCAAATTTATGAAGTAGGGTCAGCATTTCCTACTAGACCTCCAAATTGCAGATTTATTAGGCATATCTTATGCTTTGTTCTGTTGCAGAATGAGGTTTATGCTATTACCTCAGAGCTTAATTTATTCTGAATAATTGCTTTCATATCTTTAGGTATAACAAATTACAGTCAGTATATTTGGTTATTCAGTATATGAAAATAATTTAGTTTTGAAGTTAATATTTTGTAAAAGTGTCATCTGGATTATAATTATGAAATAAATCAAAAATTCAATTGCTTTAGTATTTCCTCCATGATGAAAGAAATCTACTTAAAAAAATGGGTGAAAGGGCCCTCCCTGGTGGCTCAGTGGGTTAAAAAGCACAATGACTGTGAAGCTAGCTGTAGCCGCTACAGTACCCACATGGCACAGCACACCTCTCCTGTCTTGCCCGCTGCTCCTCTCAACAGTGTACTTCCATAGATCTGCCTGTTCTGCTCCTCACTCAGTCTCACCGCCCCTTTACCTCTGGCCTGTACCCCAAGTCTGTATGCATAAATAATTATATGCTATTACCTCAGAGGTTAAATCTTTAAAAAAAGAAAAGAAATAGAAGCTGACAAATTTTAAAAATGGGGTTAAGGCTTTCCCCGGTGGCGCAGCAGGGTAAAGCACTGTATTACGAAGCTCTCTGAGGCCACTGCAGCATGGGTTTGATCCCCAGTCCAGGAGCTAACCCACGTGGTGGACCTCTCCTGGCCTGCCCACTGCTCCCCTCAGCAGTGTATTTCAGTAGATCTTCCTGTTCTTCTCCCCACTCCATCTCTGATGGATCCTCTCACCCAACACACCTCTGGCCTGTACCCCAGTTCTGTAAGCATAAATAAATAAATATTTTAAGAAAAAAAGGGTGAAAATCTTTGAAAACATTTTTATGAACAGGGGACTGGTTAAATAAGTCATGACCAATTAAGCAGTGGAATACTAATTTGAAAAAAAGAGTGAGTATAGTTCCTGTTTAATGATGTGCATGAACCTCTACATAGGTAAAATAAAATAAATGAAATGTTTGGAAAAGAAGGTAAAAAGTATGGTATATTTTATTTGCCTGAACATGCTAGAAGAAATCTAGGATGTAAAAAGAGCTGGTTAAAAATAGTTACCTGAGTATTGATGTACAAATGAGAGTTAGGAGAAATGAGATTGCTAGCAATTACAAGTAGAAATATATTTTTCATTCTTTTAATTTAAAAAAACTATTGCGCTACATGGGTATGTTTTTTAAGTACTGAGAATAAAAATGGATTTTAAAGCATTAAATATATATAAAATTATGTTTAAAAATTTTTTTTTAGATGAATTGCAGTTTATTGAGTGGCAAGTTGACAGTGATAAAGAAGATACTAGTGAATGTTGTACATTTGAAGACAGTGAAAGTGTAGAAATTTCAGATTGTGCTTCTTGTGCAAGCATTCAGTCTTTGACAAGTGACGAGAAGCTGTCTGAGCTTCATAAGGTAAGGATACATTTTTAAAATGTTTTCTTTCAGGTCATGACATTTGTTAAATTACTTTTTGATGATTTGTTACTCCTGCAGATGTAGTCATTTAGGACTCTTACCTCCTTATTTTTAAAATAACATGCTTTTAATGATTTTCCAAATATGAATAACTTTCTCTGTACCAATTTTCTACCTCTTTGTACATATTGAATTTTTCCCATCCCTATGATCTCCCATTATATAATTGAATAAGAAATTTTCATAACAAAAGTAAATGTTAATGAGGAGTATTTTTCCTTCATAGCATTGTTTCCCTTGTAGTTATATTGAATTCTTGTTTGCCTACTTTCAGTTACCACTAATAACATTGCTATTTCTCTCCATTGCTTAGTGCTCTTGTTAAGATTTTAAACATAGTAGACACTTTCTTTTTCTCAGAGATCACTTTCCCACAACCAGCCAACACTTAGTCTCTCCAGTTTGACTTCCACATCTCTGCTTTGTGAATGATGCCACTTTTAGCTCTCCCTTTATCATCTTTGTGTGAATTCTCATCATCTCTTTCCTGTCTGGAATTTCATTATCCTGCATTCCATATACTCCTTCTCATTTTGATTGAACACATCTTCCAGTAGTTTTCTATATTCTTATAGAAGATAGTTTTTTGAGCCATGACATTTCAAAAGGTACCTTTATTACACTTTGATATGTGATTGAAAATTCATCTGAAATTTTTGCTTGGAAGTTATTTTCCTCCAGAATTGTGGAGAAATTTCTTCATAATTTTCTGGCTGCAAAGTTTTTGTCAAGAGGACTAAAACTTTTCTCATTATCTTTTAAGATTTTCTCTTTATCATTTATTTTAAGTAACTTGATTGTAATATACCTAGATATGGTTAGAGATTGTCAAGCTTCCTGGATCTGTTTGTTGGGGGTCTTCAAGCTCACCCCAAGGCTTAGTAATATTCTTGGAAAGCACTCAAAACTTAACCTATATTCGTATTCATGGCTATGAATTGTTATTATGAAAAGATACAGAAATCAGTAATCTTCTAAGTTCTTTGATACTGGTGTCACATAGGATAAACTTACTTGCCCCAGCATGAGTTTTGACATGTGTAAAGTTGTGGGCCAAGAGAACTCATTAGTGAATCAGTGCCTAGGGCTTTCATTGGGGACTATTAATGTAGGCATTCTTTGCCTAACATATACTGAAATTTCAGCCTTGATGAATAAAAGCAGGTTTTCAACATAAACCATATTTGCACAATTTAGGCACATGAACTACGCTATTAACATTTACAGAATGGGTGGAACACACCTGAAATTTAAGTTCTTAGAAATTATGCAAGGAGCATGACAGGCAGACTTTTCTGAGTATATCCATTTCAGTTCTTCAATGTTAATACTCTTGGTACATACAGTATTTATAGTTTTCATCACATTTGGAAAAGTCTCTGCCTTTGTTCAATATTTTTTATTTGGAACTCCAATATACATATGTTAATTATATGGCTGAATGTATCATTGGTCATTTGTATTGGTTTTTTCCTCCCCTTTCTCTTTCATTTTGAATGGTTTCTGTTGTAACATTTCAAGTATTTTATTGAGCTTCCTTTTTTTTTTTTTTTTTGGTTATTTCAGTCAGAGGATAAATGGAGTTTCTAAAATCCCCTCTTATTTACTTTCTTGACCTTTTCATGCAATTCGGCATATGAAAACTTGCTCATTATCATTAATTGTTAGGGGGTGGAAACCAAAACCAATATGAGATACTATTTCTTACTCATGATAACTGTTACCCATAAATAGAAAAAAAAAGTATTGAAAATGTAGAGAAATTGGAACATTGTGCTTTGTTGGTGGAGTATAGAGTGATACAGACACAGTTAAAAACAATTCAGTTTTTCAAAAAGTTAAACATTAAATTATCTAATGATTCAGTAATCCAATTTTTAGATTTATATCCAAAGGAACTAAAAGCAGGGATACAAACAAGTACTTGTAATGATGTTCATACCCACAAAATTATCCACATTTGTATATCTACAAATAAAATATTTTGTTTCCAGTATATCTTTTTTTTTTAAGATTTATTTATTTTTGCATACAGAACTGGAGTACAGGACAGAGGTGCAGGGGCAGTGAGAGGATTCACCAGAGACAGAGTGGGGAGCAGAACAGGCAGATGACCAAGTACACTGCTGAGGGGAGCAGTGGGCAAGATAGTAGAGGTCTGCTGCACCATGTGGGTCACCTCCTGGGCCTGCGGTTGAACTCGCACCTAAAGCTGCTATGACTAGCTTGCAGAGCTGTGTCCTAACCCATTGTGCCACCAGGGAGTGCCCTGTTTTTCAATATCTTTTAATTCAGAGATGGCAACACAAATATAAATTTGTGTTGTTGCCAGCATCTGGCCAATGTGAGTAATTCTGCTATGAATTATTCATATTCCTAACTTTAAAAAAAATCACCTTATTTCTGTTGAAAAAGGTAGGATTCCTTTACATCACAGGTTAACTGTGTATAATTTTCAGTTTTTATCTGGTATTTTATGAGCACGTTTTGTTCTGATAAGATAATTAAGATAGTTTCTAAAACAAAATAAAATACCTAAAACCAAAAAGAAAAAAAAAGAACCCTAATGGAATCCCTAAAAGAAGAGACCTGGGATAGGGGAATAAAGTGAGGATTGGTTCCAGTGGTCTATGGTAAAATAAAAAATGGGTGCTTTTGGCCCTCCCTGGTGGCACAGCGGGTTAAAGCACTGCACTGAGAAGCTGAAGCCACTTCCGCATGAGTTTGGCACATGGCGCGGGCAAACCTCACCTGACCCGTCCGCTGCTCCCCTCAGCAGTGTACTTCGTCGATCTGCCTGTTCTGATCCCCACTCTGTCTCTGGTGAAGCCTCTTGCCACCCCTGAGCCTCTGGCCTGTACCCTAGTTCTGTATGTACAAATAAATCTTTTAAAAAATAAAAACAGGGTGCTTTTGTGGTGGATGTCATGTGGTAACATACATTTGAAGAGCTGTGACTGTTTTCCCCTAAATCATATACAGTGTTGTAAATAATAATCATCTGGGAATAAATATAGGTGGCATCTGTTATTTTTTAAAAAAGTAATTTCATGTATTTATTTTTCTTATTATAAATAGAAACAGTGATTTTTCCTCCACAGTTTATTGCCATCTCTGAATTAAAAACTTAATTTAATTGCCAGAGACTTTAATTTTCTTATTAGAAAATAATCAGTTTCTGTGAACTTATTGTTTTCCCTGGCTTAGTTTTTGGGAAATGTTCTGTGAGCTAAGGATATATTTACCTATTTGAAAGTTACTGTAAATAAGCTGGGATTATATCTAACTAAAAAGCTTCTGGATAGCCAAAGAGACATTAGCCAAAACAAAGAGACACCCTATTAACTGGGAGAAAATTTTTACACTCCATTCAACTGATAAGGAATCAGTCACAAAGATATACAAAGAACTCAAGTGATTCTGCAAAAACAGAGTAAACAATCCATTCAGAAAATGGGGAGAAATTAAAAGACAGTCCTCCAAATAGGAATAAAAGGAAAAACATCAAATGGTTTCACTTACCGGAAAACTATAGGGGAACCAACTAAGACATTAGGGAAGATATAATAATAATAATGAAAATAAACACACAACTATAAATCAGAGACACACTGCAGGGGAGGGAGAAAGGTATCAAAATGAGGGAGGAAAGAACACAAGGGACTGTGGTGATGGTGCGTGGGTGAAATGGTGGTGGAAATTTTATGGGGACTCCACCTGAGAAGAGAAAGCCCTTCCTGATTGTGCAATGGATTAAAGTGCAGCACTACAAGCTAGCTACAGCTGTAGCCACTTCAGTGTCAATTCAATCCCCGGCCCTAGTGATGATCCACATGGCACAGCAGACCATTCCTGTCTTGCCCGCTGCTCCCCTCAGCAGTGTACTTCATTGATCTGTCTGTTTTGCTCCCCACTCTGTCTCAGGTGAGTCCTCTTACTGCCCTTGCAACTGTGGCCTGCAACCAGTTCTGTATGCATAAATAAATAAATCTTAAAAAAAAAAGCAAACATTGTTAAAAAATGAAAAAAGATGTAAAATATATATAAATAAAATTTAAAAATTGCTATAAATAACCATGACTGTAAGGAAGACTAATGTTGTATCCGTGTAGATGCTGGATCATTGGTTGGGGTGGCAAACCAAGAAGCTTGTACACATATTTTATAGTGCTTGCAATTAACTTCATACCTTGTTAGTATGAGGCAGACATCAGGGTAGCTCTTAAATAATAACATATGTAGCTTAAAAGTGTGAATGACAAATATTTATAGTTCACCAGAACTTAAACAATATATATATATACTTTTTGGTGGTAGGATTATTGGAGAAGTTGATTTGTTACATAGTTTTAGAAAAAGAAAGAAAAACATTGCAGAGAATGACTTTTCCTGAGGAGATAAAGAGAAAACATACTCATTGAATATATACAGGGCCTTATATGTGCCAGTTGCTTTATGTATACAAATTAATCTTTTCAAAGTGCTGGTACAAATTGTTAAATACTGGGTGCCTTAAAGAATAGAAATTTATTTCTTACTTTTTTATGTGAGAGCTTGGGTTATTCTGTGCCTTGATTATTCTGTGTCTTTCACCCCAGTAGGAACAGGAAAAATTTGAAATAATCTCTCAGGGCAAAAGTCTTGGTATGAGGAACCAATACATGCTGAAAACAGCTTCCTTGATTCCCTCATTTCCCAGCTTTATCTGTGGCTAGATGGCTATGTATGCCCCATACATTTAGGCATTCCCTGTTTGCCTGCTTGATTCTTTGATCTTTTGGTTTTTTCTTCTACTTGATTGCAAAAGAAAAAAACGAGACTGCCTTGGAGCTAGGCTGTACTCGTTTGGTGTAGTTGTTTTAGGCTTCTCATTGCTACAACTCACTTGGACTATGAGTAATCTTTTTTCATACCATGACACACATCACAGTGAGACA